CATAGCCATTCCTCTGAACCGCAACCCACCTCGCCCTCCTGCTATACCGACACCCTCCCTCCAGCCTTGTTATTGTGTTGCCCACCTCTCCACGGCCTTCCGGCTGAGCCGCAACCCATTTCCAACCTACCTGCTGTACCACAATTCCACCCTACACGCATACAACCGGCCATGGCTTGTCTTGCCCAGTCCTAGAGGTATACTGGTGTTTTATTATGTTTTCTTTTCCATTTTGAGTCTTGATTGTAACTCAGCTGAATTAGAGTAATAAATTTTGCTTTCCCTATTGTGGTTTGGGTTATCTTTGGTATCATTTGGAATCAAATCTAGCTTGGCTCTAGTTCTATTCTAGAGTTTCCCAGTATCTGCAGAACCCAAACCATCTCAACCAATTTTTTGTCTTTCCTACCATCAAATACCATTTCCACTCCCATAAATCTCAAACGCCGACCATGCCACCAAGGAGAAACACTGACCATCACATTACCGCCATGATATATTTCTGAGGGTGGTGGAATTACAGTTTAACCAATTGCAGATGAAGTGTGAGCAGGTCGAGCCAGAAGAACATATCATAGCCCATTATCTGGGGGGCCTCAATGTGCAATTGCATTCTTATCGGTCATTGTGAGAAGTCCAGACCATAGTCTTGAAGGGGAGAGGCAACAAAATAATTCTTTGTTATTCATATTCTTTGTACTAACAATTTAATATTCAAATAATGCAAAGAATTGATTTCCACTGTCCAATCGTCCGGCCATCCGTTCCGATCTTAGTTTACTCCATGCTCGGGGCCGGGTTGTGACATGATCTCCTGCAATTCCACCACCCTCCCTCCAGCCTTCCTACTATGTTGCCCACCTCCCCACAGCCTTTCGACTGAGCCTCAAGCCATCTCCCACCTTCCTGATGTACCACATCCCACCCTACACTAATATGGCCGATCACCACCTATCACAATCCCTTCTCACATCCAGCCATGACAGGTCCTGCCCAACCTTAGCGGGATACTGGTGCTCTGTTGTGTTTTATTTTCTGTTTTGAGTCTTGATTGTAACCTTGCTGTTTTTGAGTAATAAATTTGTTTTCCCTATAGTGATTTGGGTTATCTCCGGCATCAGGTAATGTGACATATATGTAAAGTTGAAGTTTATGTTCCTATTGTGATTTGGGTTATCTCCAGGATTAGGTCATGTGACATATATGTAAAAGTTGAAGTTTGTATTAGATATGTAAATATATATTGAGTGCAGCCAACACACAAACAACACACATAAACAAACCCAACTCAACTCAATATGTATTACTTATCCGAACACCTTAACTTAAATTTTTATATATATGGCACCTTATCTATACAAAAAAAGATGTGTTTTTAAAATTTAAAATAATGATATTTTTTATATGATGTGAAAGAATTGGATGATATAAATGTAAAAAGTAAAGGTTACGTGTTAGAAATGTAAATGCATAGGAATTGGGTGGTATGTATGTAAATGCCCCCTTTTTATTGATTAACAGTGGCATTGTTCATGGGAAACGTTTTAGAATCTTTTTCGCCATTTATTCACAACATTTGGTATCACATTTAGTTAGATGCTAAAAATTTTTGCAGTGTGCTAAGTTTGACCTAAACTATTTCTTTCTCAAACTTGCTAATCCTCCTCTAATTTCTTAGAAACTCATAACTCCACTATACTTTCCGAACCATCTCGATGTTCTCTGCTTCCCAAAAGATGCCTCATGAGTTACGGCTGCTGTAGATGAAAATGTCCGTCATTCATCTTCTCCTCAAAATTTTAGCGATCTCTCACCACTTCAAATTCATCATCAGCCTCACTCTTAATGATCTCGCAGCACTTCCGCCTGTAAAGCTTAACTCATTAAGTGCTACAAATGTCTAGGGTTTAACCATATTGCTTTACAATGGCCTAATCTAAGAATTATTTTCACTCGTTGAATAAGTACCACAAGCAATGATAAAGTATCACAAGAAATGATGAAGAAGAGGAACTAGAAGCAAAAGGTGAGCAATTGTTGTAGAAGATGAAAACGAGATGCTTATTATCCGGTGAGTGTTGTGTTTCCATCTAAAATGAATAGAAATGGATATTGCACAACATATTAGATGCATGGTATACCGTCCAAGGGAAAGTAACATTAGTTCATCTAAGACATTATAAAATATCTTGGATCAGCAAGTGAAATGAAATCAAAGTAGCAATTTTTTATGCAATTTTCAATAGACAAGAAATTTCAAAGTTATAGCATGATATCATTTGGATAGATGCTTGTCAATTAATTTTAGATAGATCATGGCAATACAAAAAACGTACTACATATGAATGGCTTCAAGCACATATACACATTAAAGTGTGATGGAAAACGGTCGATACTTGAGCCATCAATGGATGAAGCTAAAAAAGGACCTGTGGAGGGGCGTCCAAATCCATGTTCATAAGGGTTATGCAAGAAACATATTTCATTCATGCTCTGGTAGTTCTAGAAGAAAATAAAAATGAGTAGCGTCAAATGAGGCCCAATCTTTGCTTCAATTGTATAATGATGTGCTTTCTAATGAGGGCAGACATATTAAAAAGGCTGAATTTTTATCTTTCTAATACAACATGAACAAATTAGCCATCCAAAAATATAATTTTGATACTGTCAAAGACAATCTGCCCTTGGTGCTCTCTGATCGAAGGTGGTTGGGTTCAAGGTGATATCCCAAAAACAAAAAAATTGTGCAAAAAGTGCCAACAACGTCAATAGGGACGTTTCAGCAATTCCAGCTTGAGATCAGGCCATTGTGCAAAACTTGAACCCCAGGACAATTAACCATTCCAGATCATCGAACACATAGAAGAAATGGCTACAAAATTGACTTGTCAGGATACAAGCATACCCATAACACTAAACGTTATGGATCTTTCATCCTATTATGATCAAAGAATTATTCGAGACTTCAAAAGTGACACTCCACCAACTCGGGCAAAGACTTCAAGGGCGACTCTCCTCCAACTAAGGTAAAATGACATAGTTTAATAAATGAAAAAAATATTGGACTTATTTGTTTCATTTTCTTTTTGTAGGCATTGCTTTTTCATATTATATTTGTAGCATCAATCTTTTTTCTTTTCCAATTGATGAAACTCGAATTGCACCTTCCTTTTCTTCTCTCCCGTTGCAATGCCCCATCAATCCCAAATCACAAGAATCTCGCGATCCCCTCTCCTTTTTTCCTCTCCCGCTACCGAGCCATGATCTCGTGAATCATGCGACATCGCCTTTACTCCCGATCGTGCCAGTGATGTCATTCTTTCCTTTTCTTCCTTTGCTCTGTTGGCATCATTATTATCTTTTATCGAGACTGTTCCTCTTTTTTGGACCATTTAGTGGCCTGCGCGGGCACAACTAGTCGCGCGAACGTGAAAGTCCAAAAGAGGTAAAAGCGGTCATGCACCGCAGCCCTAATGGCAGCGCCGTAGCCTTGCACACCATAAAACTTGTATCCGAAGCCAATTGTCGTTGTTTATGGTGCCGTGGTGCCTGTATTAGGCGTTGCGATGCTTATTTAACACAATTCAATGCAAGCGTTGACGCTCTGGCGCTTCGGGTTGCGAGGCGCTTCGGGTTGCGAGGTGCCTCTACACCGACGGCAACAACATCGTGCCTTAGCTAAAAATATTCATGGCCCCACCCGAAGAAGTTAACATTCAGGTTCGACGCCATGCCTAGTGTCGTGACGCCCAGTTATCTATAAATAGGGGACAATTTTAATGATTTCGGTATGTTTAATCATTCACAGGGAAGTTCTATCATGTTTCTTCCCCTTTTTTAAAATGCAAACTACGATAATGTACCTGTGCAACAAGGTCTAGGACTAGTCATGCCCCCTCCCCACTTGTCTTTTGGGGGAGAGTGGAGCGACGAGACCACGAATTTTGATACCCTTGCTTCATGGGAAATCATTAGCCCCAAGAGAAGCTTGGACACAAATGCTTGGCTTCGTCGCACCACAACATTTTGCATTATTCCCATGTCCCAGCATGTCTGCAAGTTGTGGGAAGATGTCACCTTGCTCAACCAGAAGGTGATACT